AAAGTCATGTTTACATTGATCTTGCCAGGCAGGCAGCAGAGGGTGAGAGACAGCAGTGCTGGAGAGAACATCCTTACCCTCCCCCACCCCATTTAGAGAGGCAGTTCTGCTCCATAGTTAAGAGAAGACTTCCACACATGACATTACAGCTGATATCAGGGGATCTCTAATTGTACATGCCCCTATAGAAACAGGGATTCTCTGAGGAAAGGGAACAGACAGAAATAACAAATCTGGAATTGTTCTGGTTGCCAGAAGCTCCAGTTTCAAAGTAAGTGAAAATAATCCTGGAGTGGAAGGGAAGTAGGATTTGAATCTGCTGTAACAAATATATGTATCAAATTAATCCAATTAAGTGGGCAACTGAATCCCCTCTTATACCAGAACAAATAAACCTGTGTGGACAATCTCCCAGTTCCTTGTGGGCCATTTCCATCTTATATAGAATCTGGCCCTCTGTGATCCCTGAGCTTCTTGCCTTTCTTCCGTCACCCTCTTCCCCATGCAGGGAAGGAGAAATGGCACTGTCCATTCTCAAATGCCATTTGCAAGTACCATCCAAAAGTGTTTCGTTCCTTTTCCCTGCCATCTCTGCAAGAAAAGCAAACCCAGTCCTTTACTAAAGCAACAGGTAGAAAGGTCCCACTGGGTTCTGCAACTGGAACTCGATACTGAAAGAGGAGCACACCATGTGATGTTATCCATCCTATTCAGGGCTATGGAGTTGGGGATCTGGCCCCCAACTATTTTCAGTTCCATCTCCAGACTTCACAGATATGCCGGAAGAAAGCATTGGCAAATTTATAAGCTCTGAAGAAAGTATTGGTGTTAGTTCTGGGTGAGCCTTGGGAAGTTTACAATATAGAAACTAGAGGGTGGAGTCACATCCAAGGAATACGATCAAGAATTAGGTTTTGGCTTAAATATATTAATATCTAGATTTAAAATAATTATCTAACAATGAAACACAAAGATTCACATGTGTTTTGCTTAAAAAAGAAATGATTTAGTTACTTCTGGGAAATGGAAAAAGCTGTTACAATAATAGTAAATAAATACAATTCTCTGTGGCCCAGAAGCTGCAACAGCAACTCATTACTTATTAGAAGCAACTTGGTAAGCTTGGGAAAAGGAAGATTCTTCTTCTCAAAGAGTCACCTTCTTCTTAGTGACTGTTTCTCTTTGATGTATGATTGCATCAATGTCCTTGTGATATTGGTCACCAAATCCCATTTTTGTTTTATATATTATTATATTATATATATATATAGAACCAAATATGGGATTTGGTGACCATATAATATAACTATCCAAACACTAATACACCTCACAGTTGTGGAACAGGCAAAATGAAAGAGGGCAGACACTGTGAACGAGAACCAAACCATTCACTCCAAATGCATCCCATTACTGGGAGAGCACTTAGCTGGTTATTTAATGATGCTTCTCTTCGGGAATCAGAATTTCCATGGCATGCCCATCCATTAGAGTGAATGTGAACCATTATTTTCACTGTGCTAATGCATGTATGAATATTAAAACTTCCTTTAAGCAAATTAAAAAAGAATTACGTATGTTTATGTTATCGCCAGGCTAAGGCTCTATCCACAGCAGTTGGTTAATAGCATTTCTCAGTGCCTCAATGGAGGGCATCCACTATGTCTTTCAGCTCTATGCATTAATTGCTGGAAGAGTACATTTGCATGAACTCTTCTGAAAAAAGAACAAGAGTTAAGCACACTATAGTCAAAGAAAATGCTCTAGATTTTGAAAATCTGCTTTGTTTTCATTAAAATCTATACCCAATAGAACTGAGAAATAATTCTCTTCTTTCCATCCTTTGGTAACTTCTGTACATGTAAATACCATAATCCCTTAGTTGACATGTGAAATTCTGGAGGATTTAGAGTGCAAAAATAATAGGTTTGCTAAACTGTGGATGAAGGTGTAGAATCTCAACAACAGCCAGCCAGAGCTCTGCGGGGAGATCTCTAGGGAATAGGTCTCAGAGCACTGACAAAATAGCTTCACTTCTCTGTCACTGCAGACAAATTTAAGGTGAGTGGTGCTGAAGGAAGAGAAAGTTTTATTTTGCTTTTTCATGGTGGCTTCAACATTTGAGATCCCATCTCCTTCCCACTCCCAAGTGACTCCAGGGCTCAATGGCCTTGGGCAAAGCTGATGGTATATATGTTGTGCACATATTTCTTTAGGAAGTGATGCAGGAAATCCAAAATTGTCTGTCTCACTATGTTGTACACACACCTGTGGAGACACAAATTCACCATTGTTACACTAGGGCTGCTACATGTTATATCATAAATCTTGCCCTTGTAACAATAAAAAGCCCGATTCCTCGTCTCAGGCTAGAAATCTCAATGAATGGGAAACTGCTGCCCCCCAAAATTCTGATTATGTCTTTGTGATAACTCCATAGGCCTACCCTCCAGTAGAATGTAAACTCATTTCTGGCCATGTGGACATTGCATCTTTCTTTGACTCCAGCCTCCCAGCAGATTCCCTGCAGTGGCTTTCCCTTTTATGTCATGGTCCACGAACAAGAAAAGGAAAGGTCTCCTTTTCAGAATTACTCAGTTGCCCCTTGCAAATGCTGTGTGATTGTTGCTGCTGCTGCTGGATTTATTCATTCATTCATCCTTTATTTATTTATTTAACCTTGCTGCACCCTTCTTGAATCCTACTTGATCTGTCTCTTGCTTGTTCCCCCTTTACCACCCATCCACCCAAAATCCAGGAAGTTGCCCGTGTTCTTGATACAGCTTCTAGATAAGAAATTCGCAGTGATATTTTCAGAGGTTCCAGCCAAGGAGTCTTGGCTGGAATTTTTATCCAAATAAGATTTTGACCACTTCTCTGCATATCTGGCAAACCATTTCTCTACAAAGAAGGAAGGCAAAGAAGGAAGTTCATTTTTCTGAAAGGGGTAGTGTTGCAAAATACATTTTGAAAGTCATCAGCGTTGTTCCTTTGGGGGGGGGGGAAGTCCACTGTATACTTTATGAGCAACCAGACCAGATCAAATTTAGGAAAGCCAAGTGTTTAATGTGAGAATTAAATAGCCTTCATTTTCTGCGTTATTTTTAAGCAAAAAGGTTGTCTTTTCCTCTACATAGAACTGAATTTCTATGATATATGTAGAAGTGTTTATTTAGAAAATATTTCTTTTTTGGCTCCAGGAAATCCTGCTGAGTTACTTTTTTTTTTAACAAAATGTGCACACATGTACACACACTCTTAGAGATGTCCTGTGAGTAGATATCTGGTTCTAATGGATCATTATTGACTCTATAGACATCTTTAGGACCTTCTACAGTGAACGTAGATTGAAAAATGCCCCCCCCCAAATATGGCTCCTAGAAAATATTAAAAATGTAAATTTGTGTGGACAGGTCCTGACACATCCCTCTTGCCATACAGCCCAGAGTACTGTCCTTCTCCCATTATTGCTGAGTTGCCTAGCCAGTCTCTTCCTCCTGAAATAAGTACTGCACTCCAACCGTGTCCAGCCTGAAATATTCTACTTAATGTTCATATGGACTCTTTGTTTATCTTGTTTTTAGAAGAGGTCCTCCCTCAAATGATGAAAGAGATCTGTTTGCATTTAACCATTCTTTGGTTTTCAAAATTGATCTTTGGAAAGTAAACATGGGCTTAATTGGTAAGTCAAATTGCTGTGGCATACGTCTGATGGAAAAAGAGGTTCACAGTAAGGATCTGTGTTTCTCTTGGCATAGTTTCAGCCTGAGTCAATTGCATTTGGCTGATTCAGATAGTGAAACTGGACACTCACACCGCCAGATTCCTAATCAGTTTCTGACACACACTGCTGAGAGTAAGGCAAGGATAATACTTGCATCACATGGAAGTGTATAAAGAGTGACTGAGGAGGCCTGGCTGGGAAGCTAGGAGGTGACTAGCTAATGAGAAGCTCAGTCTATATATAGCCTGCATGACTGCATGTTCATTAAAGTCTAATTCATTTCCCATTTACAAGTAGAACTAAAAACACATCCTTTGAATATTATTTTAAAGAAATATTGTAATATATCTAGCTATACTGTACTCGGAAATTCTTTCTGCAGAAAAATATTAAATAAAAATTACATCTAGGATGTGCTACCATAAAATGCAAGCTTTGGCAGTATAGCTACATATACCTAAACGGATGACAGAACAAACACTTGAAATTGTAAAGAATAGGCAAGAAAGAAAAATTAAAAATGACAGAAATAGGATTAGAATCCTGAGTACAGCTATTCAACAACTGTCACTTAGAGACAACCAGAACTACTATAGAGGTAAATACAAAGAGAAGAGGGAACAGAGAAGCACTCTATCTGACCATAAGAAAACAAAGAGAAAGTGGGAATGGTATACTGAAGACCTATACAGAAGAGATAAAAGAGTGACAGATTCCTTTGAGGAGTAATCCTATGATATAGAACCAGCAATTCTAGAAAGTGAATTGAAAACTGTTCTGAAAGCACTTGGAAGAATTAAATCAACAGGGGTAGATGGAATAACCTCTCCCTAAATATCTCGCTTATCTTAAAAATTCAATTAAGATTGCTATAAGTCATTTCTAACTTGATGGTATATAACACACACAATTATCATTTTAAAACTATCCATGTTTTTAACATTTCATTTTAAAACTACCCATGTTCCCCAGTTTCTCATTAAAGCTGCAGCCCTGTTGCCTCCCATGAATGGGACTGATGTTTGCGCAGGTACTCTATAACACTCATGCGGCTTAGCAACCTTGGGAATGGCACCCCCACACTGGGTAACAGTACCTTGACCACACTTTGTGATGTCACTTTTCATCACCTTTATAAAGTCTCCAGCAGAGACTTTAGGTAGAGTCATCATGTCCTCAACAGAGGAAAGCAGCTTGGCAACAACTCCTGAAAACCAAAAAGTGGAAAAGACAGAAGTCCTTTCTTCCAACAAAACAACTGGGGTGAGGAAGTCAAATCTATTTCACTGGACTGAGCAGGATGCTTCCGATATAGAGGTGAGTGGGGAAAGTTTTCTTCCAGGTACTCCTTTTA